TTCTTTCTGCTCTGCAGTATGGTGAATTGGGACATGTATATATCTCACTTATCCAGTATCACCACTTAAGCACATTGTGAGAGGTGTTGATGGGGTCTGTTAGTTTAGCCTCAAACAAAAGTTACACTAAGTATTTCAGGTGGGTAGCTGCGTCAGCATGCGTAGGCTGCTAAGGAACAAGTAATAGGTTTATTCCATACTGAAAAAAAGAAGAGAGAGAACACAACGTTTTGGCCGTGGAGCCTTCTTCAGGTGAAGAAGGCTCCACTGCCGAAACGTTGTGTTCTCTTTCTTCTTTTTTTCAGCATGGAATAAACCTATTAAAAGTTACCATAAAGATAAAATAAAAGATGCCATAAAGCTGACTTGCTTTAGCAGCCCCAGTGGCTTAACGCTACATAATAAAAGACAGGAACAACACCCACAAACAGGATAAAACAGACCAATGTCTGCTGCATATCAAAGGACAGAACCTAGAGCAAGACAGAGCAGGACAAGAAGTAATTACATATCAAAGAACAGGACAAGCACTCAGATTGAGAAACAAACTTTCTTCTGACTGTATATAAGAGCTGGGAAACCCTTGCAGTGTGTCTGTTCTGTGGGGCTGACCCAGAGCGTGTTGTTGGACTTATTGAGCTCAATAAAACTGAATCTGCACAAGACTGTGTCCTGCTCCTCTGATGAAGAATTTCCCACAACAATGGCATTCACCTTTACATGATCATTTCATGACTGTACACTGTTTAAAACAATAATTAACATTACTTAAAGAGTAACTAACATTCATATACATGTAAAAATCTCCTTTTTGGAAAACATTTAAACAGCAAAACACAAAGTAAAAAAAAACACAGACACTGCAGAATTATTGCCCTGGTGAGAATTTTAGACCTACGTTTTTACTGAAACCTTGAAACTACACCTTTCAGTTTAATACAAAGGAGCCAGACTGAGTCACCAAAGAACATTTCATACATTATTGTGCATCCATGAAGAAAAAGGAACAAAATTAAAAGAATAGGCCAAAGCCTACACTTACTTTTCCCATCACAAGCGACGATTTTTACTTTGTCCACTTTCACCAAATCGGTCACTTCTCTGAACTCAACATCGTTCAGGACAAACGTCCAGACATTGTCACAGAATCTGTATGTGTTCAATGACCCCTAAAAAAGGATAAATACTTGTGATATAGGACCATTGCAACACGAAAATGGGGTAGTTTTAATGTGTAATAAGTCAAATAAAAAAGTATAATTTCTATTAAGAATATGCTACTTATCAGTTTGTTACATGCACACGAATTATAAAAAGAGGAAATGAGTGCTTTGATATTATTCATTTAATTACATACATATTACACAGAATTTCAGGCAGCACTTTGATCATCTTCCTCTAAGACTAAGTCACATTCACTTAACTCGCATTGTACGACAGACATTTCAGCAACCAACTGCCTTAGACTGAACAATTAAACATGAGCCAGGGGATGAAAGAGGAAGCTCAAATGGGCTGAACGGCCTCCTCTCATGTCATCTCCTTTCTTATGTTTTTGGCCAAATACACCTGACTGGTACAGCCTGTACTGATCACTTTGGTACATCAATAATGCCCTCTTGTGGTACAGCACAAGAGCACCAATGTACTTTTAACACCATAGAATAAATCTGCAAATATTTTCTATAGATTAAACAATTATTTAAATTAAAATGGAATGTAGGCTGTAGTCTGAAACATCTACACAGCATATAGTGGGCATAGAAAGTCAGCGCCCCCTTTCAAAAGAAGACAAAATCAGACTTTTTCCAGTTTTATTTACACATTTTATCTTGCAATATCCAGGTGAAAAAATAATACAAATCTCTGAAAAAATATTAAAAGTAAAAAAGTAGAATAACTGGGTTGGATGAGAGAACACCCCCCTGAGTTAAGACTTGGTAGAAGCACCTTTTGCTTGAATTACAGCCCTGAGTCTTCCTGGATACATCTCTACCAACTCTGCACACCTAGAGGGAGGAATATTTGCCCGTTCCTCCTTACGGAATTGTTCAAGCTCAGTCAAACTGCGTGTTGACCCTTGATGGACTGCCCTCTTCAAGTCATTCCAAAAATTTGCGATGGGATTTAGATCGTGGGGCTGAATATGGCCACTCAAGGACATTCACCATCCTGTCCTTCAGCCACTGTACGGTGGCTTTGGCGGTGTGCTTTGGGTCATTGTCATGTTGAAAAATGAACCATCTTCCCATTCTCAACTTCCTGGCTGAGGGCTGCAGGTTTTCTTCAAGAATTTGCCTGTATTTTTCACCATCCATCTTCCCTTCTATCCTGACAAGTGCCCCAGTCCCAGCTGAAGAGAAACACCCTCACAACAGGATGCTGCCACCACCATGCTTCACTGTAGGAATGGTGTTCTTTGGATGGTAAGATGTACTGAGTTTTCCCCAGACATACCGTGTTGCATTCTAGCCAAAAGGTTCGATTTTGGTCTCATCTGAACACAGCATCTTTAAGGTTCTTTTTAGCAAAACATAAATGAGACTTGATGTGGCTTTTCTTAAGGAGTGGCTTTTTTCTTGCCTGCCTCTCATACAGGCCAGATTTGTAGAGCACTTGTGATATTGTCACATGCACACAATGACCAGTCTTTGCCATAAAGGACTTTAGTTTGCCATCAGCCTCTTGGTAGCCTCTCTGATCTTGGTAGTCTCCTCCTTGCTCGGTCGTCCAGATCTAGGCAAGGTCTGGGTGGCGGCATACGCTTTCCACTTCTTCATGATGGTCTTGACTGTACTCCATGGGACACCTAAAGCCTTTGAAATCTTATTATACCCATCTTTATCTCGAAGTTCTTTTGAAGGCACCTTTCCACCAATAGTGGATTCTTTGCTTTGAAATGCACTTCCAAGCAGTGGAATCTTCTAGAAACAGCTGCTTTTATTCTGAACTAATTAAAAGCACCACAATTGCTCACAGGTGCAAGCCAATTAGTTTGTTCTGTGAGGTGTAAGGTGATTGGTTATACCTGGGCAGGTTTACAAATGCAATAGTAAGGGGGTGTTCACTTATCTAAATAAGGTATTTTACTGTTTTAATATTAATTCATTTTTCAGAACGATTTAGACTTTTATTTTTACTTGGATAATGTGGGTAACTGTGTGTAAATAAAAAAAAATTAAATTAAGCTTGTTCCATTTTTATTTTCAGAGTGTCATACAACAAAGGATACACATTTTGAAAGGGGGTGGTGACTTTCTATACCCACCGTATACAGTACCTTGCAAAAACAATCAGACCCTTTAAAAGTTTTCAAATGTTGCGCGATTACAAATGATGCCTACACGTCTTTTTTTCCCCCTTACAGTGTTTTTATTGCAAACTCACACCACGCTCAAACAGAAATTTTTTAAAGACAAAATTAGTTATTTGTCAGCTGGTATGTTAAAGGGTCTGAATACTTTTGAAAAGCACTGTATATGCATGTAAAAGGATGTGTTCAGACGCTGTTTAAATTCTGCGGAATATAACTAAACTTGTCTTATAATGTGGCACATACAGGGTTGAGGTAAGCCCTTACTGCTTTGATTATGTCCATTTTGTGGATTCTGATACATTTTAACAAGCAAAGGGATCATTGGAACCTGAAATATAACCCTGATTACTGTACCAAACATTTCTGTTATTTCAATATAAAACCCACCTTCAGTCCTCAGTGTGTGTACTCTATTAATATAGAGCCAAAATTCCCATTGGCCCTTACCAATCATGGCTTCCAAATAATCCCCATCTATGAACTGTCTTAATTACTCTGCTCTCCTCCCCACTGAGAGCTGATGTGTGGTGAGTATTCCAATACGACTATGGCTGCTGTCGCATCATTCAGGTGGGGCTGCACACTGGTGGTGGTGGACGGGATCCCCATTATCTGTAAAGCGCTTTGAGTGGAGTGTCCAGAAAAGCGCTATATAAGTGTAAGCAGTTATTATTATTAATATTAAGGCTAACTAAGACTTAAGACGCTAGGGTTAGCCTGCAGTAACAGAGCTCAGTCCTCCAGGATTACCTTGAAACAGCTGATGTTTTTGCCAACATCAAACTTACACATTACAATGAATACAATACTCACCCGGAAGTTGACCCTGTTTCGCACCCTATTAGCCAGTGCTGTGTTAATAGCCTTGTCGAACTGAAGCAGAACCTGGAGTGCCAGCTGGGGAGTGATCTGTTGGGTCTGTAAACAAGGAAAAGCCTACATCTAAGAAGAGTACTGCAGTCTGGGAATTCAAACTGGTTTGACTATACAAAAGTCTTAGCTTCCCAGTAATGCTGATGAGCATTAATCATATTTGTTGCGATGTATTCGATGCTTTCAACAGTACGGTGAAATTATAAATGTGCCCCAGACATCTTGGAAGCAAGCATAAATATTTTGTTTTAAAAAAAAAGTATTCCGCGTGAAATTGACCAATTCCCTTTAGAAAAAAAAAACGTTTCTTATTAGATCAACAATAACTCATTTATTGCTCTCGGGACTCAAATGAATGATTAACTCCTTTAAGGATTCTGAAGTAAAAGACCTTCTTCACAAACAAAAACACTGGGAAAACAGTCTTAAACAGTTAAAATAATGCACTAAAAGAATAACGCTACTTGCAAATGGTTACTGCTACTTGGGATACATGTTACAGACAACTCGTTTATCTTGGAAATACTATTAAAAGCAGCATATTTCATTACAAACTTAAAAGGTCCAACCTTTCCACCATGACTGGAAAGATTTTGTACTACCCATACGATCCCGACGTTAGCGATTAAAACGATAGAAATTACCAGTACATGTAGGACTAACGTAACGTAGCGGACCAGATAATTGGAGGTGACTCTCATGTTCATGGTGGAAGGAGTGCTTTCGCACTGCGCTCAGGAAAGCTGCTCTTAATAAAGAGGTAGCAGAGCGTTTACGAGCATTGTGGGAAGAGAAAGGGGTAGTAGCTCTATTGAGCTTTTATACAAATATAATCAGATGTATAGTTTTCCAACCGTCCTTTCGACGTTCTTCGGATCATTTTGAGGAGCTCTTCCTATAAAACTGTTCGGTGCTCTGTTGAGAACATTAACCGTTTTGCCCACTCGGGCGTGAGGACTGAGAACATGATGAACAAAGCTAAAATTCCTTCTTACCTGAATTAGCTCGTCCAGGCTTTCTTGCAAGCTGTTACCCAGTGTGGTATTTCTGTAAAGCTGATATGCCATTGCTCCGAGACGTTAATTTTGTTTAAGTAACTTTATAAGAGCCCTTCCTAATGAGGCAATTCGAAACTACCTTGTATTGATATTTCTCTTCCTCCTGCTGTTTTCTCTCGTACAGGAAACGCGAACGGTACGGAAAGAAGGACAAACAGAACAAAGGAAAGATAACCGATCTGAAAACGAGAATTTCGAGCGCCTCGAATACTGGCCCTGCCTCTCTTAAAACGATTTAATTTTTCTGTTGTTCAGTTTTAGAAAACATTAGAAGTACTGAATAACTTATCTAAATAATATTAGCCTACCTCTTTAGAGAAATAATTTTTGCAAAGGAATTTAGAAGCGGCTGCATTTTGGTTTCGAGTCTATAACTACAAGCACTCAAAAAACGATGAATATTCTTTGAAAAAGCAAGCAATTCCCTTGCGAGTCAACGCTGAAATAACTTAAGAACAGAAGTACGGAACAGTACACTATTTTGTAAAAAATGGTAGTTGAACATTAAATTCTATTAATCACCACTAAGCATCTTCCAACTTCCCAATACCATTTTAATAGTAAAAAGGTAGATTTTAGTAGTTAAACTTTGATGCACGATCTTGTTTTATACCTGTTCTACTTTACACCTTTAAAAATGATCCAGTTACTTGCAGAATTACAGGAATGAGCCAGGTATTGTTTTGACTGTTCAGGTATTCCTTAGAAACCTATCAGATATGCCCTAGACCAAACCAGCTTCGGGAATTATATTGTGTGAGCAGACATAGAAACGGGATGGAACACGTACACTTCCTTGCATATGTGAGATTACACATTATTTTAAAGAATAAACAGTAATAATTCTACTTTAAACATTGTTGCATTATACTATAATTCACGGTATGGAATTCAACTAAAATCTAAGAAGTATTTATAAAACAAAAATATGTCCTGTACTTTTCACAAATTTTCAGTTAGCATCGGTATTTGCTTAATGCTATAAGCCAGCCTGCAATGGAATGTATTGCTATTATTTAAAAAAAAAAACACACTTGCACTTAATTGTTTGATGTGATGTGTTTACTTCACACTATCTTGCAATGTCATTATAAAAAGACTTTCTGTACTCTGCAGTAGGTCTTCCTTCCATACCTTTTTTCCATCTCTTCTGGTTGGTGGCTGTGGTCCACGCAAGGTTTTAAGAACACAGAAAAGTCAAGCTGGCCTTGCGCACACAGACTTGCACCCGAGCGATGGCAGGTTTGAACCAGGGAGAGGCATGTGGATGGGTGTAGTGTCAGCTGTGAATCAAGGACGGGTGTGGGAAAAACTCTTAGTTCACACTCTAGGTACTTACTCTCTCCTGGGGTCATGAGAGAAAGCACAAGACTGTGGGTACAGGCTCTGGAAATGAGGTTTCTCCAAGGAGCTTTTGGACCCCCTGTCACAGAGAACTCAGGCACCGTGAGAGAGCTGCTACCCCTCCAGATCTAGAGGAGCCTGGTGAGGCCGGTTGGGCATCTGAGAAGGATGTGTCTGGAAGGGCACTACTGATGGGGACTCCGTCTTCTACCTGGTATATCCCATTAGGCAGAGACACCAAGGCCGAAACAGGGGCCTGGGAATGCTTAGAAATCCCTTGGAGTGTGCTGGAATTTGCGATGTAGGAAAAAGAAGTTTGGTCTTACCCACACCTGCTGTTGCCATGACTTTAGGACAAGCAAACTGAAAACAGATCTATTAGTAACCCTATCCCAGCATTTATCTAGGCATTTCTTGCATCTTTTCTTGCAAAGGAGTAGTCTGTTCTAGATGGTGCACCAGCTCTGCATGTAAAGACATACAGTACCTCCTCGTTTCAGTTTCTTAATACATCACCTTAGACCAGCAATGACCCTGGTCTATTGTTTCATTGCTGATTTTAAGACCCTCCTTCGGGGTGTTAATATCTTTAAGGAATTTCAATTGCATGAATCAAATTCATGTTTAATGAAATATTTTGTCAAGACAGTTTTCATGAATATTCCAAAGCACAGTGGCACCACAGGTATGTAAAATGGAATAGCAAACTACTAAAAATAAATGATCCCCAGACTTGTCAGAAAGTCAAGTTCATACATATGTGATGCATCTACAGGAGCATTTTTTTACTGCGTGAGATGTAGCAGTTTTGACAACATATGTGTGGTAATGTTTTGATCACAAACTAATTTTTCAAAACTGCTAAGGGGCACACAAATCAATCAGCATAATAGTTTATGACCTTTTACGAACTGCTTGTTTAGTTTTGATTATGTCTCCATCTACAGGACAGTGTAGGACATACATTTCTACAGCAATCCTGTTCTGAAAAACTTAAGTCCTTCTCAAAGCTTTTTTCTTTGGAATGAAATTTGAACCCTTAATTATATGTCTTTCAGGAGGCAGCAGATGTATGGAAAATAGAAATCAAATGCGTTTTTCCCCCCAAAAACAAGTTTGAAAACAAAGATCTGGATCTCATGTGGGGGTTAAGAGATAAAACAGATCAAAACTACGATATAGGAAAACATTTAAAATCCATCCTGCACATGCTAAAGCCTTTTAATATCAATACAATTTAATATAAAAAACAAATCTCATAGTATTTTGTGCAGAGTATGTTCCAACACCAATACACTGAAAATCTGCATTATTAATATTTTCCATGTACTGCTCAAGATCATTTTAATGCTGTTTCCAGGAAACCTGATGTTTGTGTGAATTCTTTATTTACTTGAGTATTCATCACCTCATTAAAAATGTATAACAATTCAGTCAGAAAACCAAAACATAAAACAATGACATTTCTTCGCAATTGGCCGTTTACTTGCAGTAAATAAATGTACAATAAGATACACTTTCCCAAGTTTTAATCGACAGTAACAGACTATACAACAGAGTCAAGTGAGAAACTTTCCAACCTCAATGCAATTTATCCCCGCCTTTTTAAGCTGGTTATCAGATATGTTTTTGAATGCGTCTTCTTTTGCAGGCAGGCAGGTAGAATAAACACAGTGCCAACCTTTCCATGCAAAGTTCGTGTAGGACCTCAGCAGTAAACCATCATCTGGAACCTGCTCAAGACATACAACAAATACGTCCCGCAGTTTCACAGAACTAAAAACATATTGCTGAAATCATCACCACCATAAAAATATATTAATCTCTGGCCTTTACCACTTATGAATATAAATATATATTTTTATATGTACTGAAGAACATGCATCAATCAGTCAAAACATAGTGCCTTAAGTACAGATGTAAGAAACAAAAAACAACAAAACGTGGTTCCTTAAAGTTTGGCTTGATACATAAAAGATATAAAAATGCATGTAGTAACGCGTTGTGCTACCAATCATAGTTCAAGTGCTTGGCATACACATACAGCAGTAAATGAATCCACAATGTAACAGGCTACCACGACTTTAAAAATAAAGGCACTTATTCTTCAACAGTAACATCTAAGCATAGAGGCTGAAAGACGCACTGTAGAATACATACAAGGCCAATGCCGTTAAGCACATTCTTCAGTCTGTCTCTTTTCATGAAGCAATTTGGCAGCTCTTCTTCACTGCTCTGTTGCTGGTGCAGCTGGCTCCTGTTTCCCTTGCATATCTCGGTCGATTCTGTGGGGTACGAACACAAGCAAACCCAATGTAGCCGGAGCTTCTTCAAAGACATGCTAATTTCAGAGCTTTCCTACCCTGATCTTTCCTGTTCACATGCCAAACTATAGTGAATCTCTTGGATGTCATTATAATGCAACTTCACTTTAAACTCTTGTTCAGTTATTTTCTTTCTATTCAATCAGGCTCCACGAAACACAACCCTTTAAAAGTTCACATTACATCTGATTATTTTATTGCAAGTCATAGAAGTTGCTGCAAGATAATTTTTTATAATACCTACAGGCTTCTGTGTTTCCTTAAAAAAAATGTAGTATAATATGCCAATGTGTTTTTATTGCTATCATTTTGTAAGTGCAAGCATCAAGTGATTAACTGTTCTTTCATTGCCTCTTACTCCTCTATGCTTATCAAGTGAAAAAATCGATTCTTATGTCAACTGAGTTTTGCAGTTACATAAACACCATATCTCTGACCCTTGGCACTTCTGTTGGTTTCTGAAGAACTAGCTGAACTGTGAAAATATTCTTCACATCCCTGCAGGGAGAAATATCGCTCTTATACCAGTTTATTGACTACCATACCATTGCGATCTTCTTTAAATGGTTTCCATATTTCTAATATAATTAAAATGAAGAATTGATAAAAGGACATGAGTGTGACCTCTTGGTATCGGATACGGTAAACAATTTCTCACAGCAACACTGTACATCTCTTCAGGATATTCTTAAGTCTTACAGTGTATCAAGTAGAAATAATTTATAATGAATACACTGCTTATCCCCGGCAACACAATACTGATTCACACTTTTCACAATAGATATGTAGCATTACACTCTCACCTTATTGGAGTCTGCTTATCAAATATTCATGCGCCTGTGGTGTTACGTGCATTAAAGTAATATAATAATGCATCTGCATGCATGCCATTTCATCAGCGTTGCAGCATAAGATGAACTGAAAGAGGTGTGAACTCAAGGCAGTGTAATCAAACAGCCCCGTGAGGATCATGCAGGCAGAGGTGATGGGTGACGACATGAACGCGTGATGCAAGACTTGAGGCACCCAAACCGTGCGCTGTTTCAGAAAAGGGACACCGGATTGTTACCAGACTGCGACATGCACACTCCTCTAACCTCTGTGACAATCACACAAAGCACAGACGTCTTTATTACCAAGCAACAAAGAGGCTAAGTATCCACGTCAGGCTTTCAGCGCTCAGACCTATTTTCACAAAAAAGTAAGCATTCGTTGTATTCTTATGCGTAATATATCATCTGATTATCTTTGTAGGTGTGCAGCCTTGGCCATGCACTGAATCATGAACCACATAATGAGCACTGGAAGCTGGTTTACTGTCATTCAGTGATTCCATATAAGCAGCCCAGGTCTCTGTTCTGGTGTCCGTAAGCACAATAGAAGAATTTAACATGAGACTGGTGAGCTCTCTTCCCATTTACTCGAGATTAAGAGGTTAGGATTTAGCACTTCATAGTTTTAATTCATAAAGAAGATGATTGGAACTGCTATCACAACCAATTCAAAAGCTTTGTTGCCAGCCATCTCTAAAACATTGTCAGTATCATGAGATATAATATAAAAGGCAGCTAACATTCATTCAAAAGGTTGCTTCAGTATGTCAAAATAAAGGGTTTATACGGCATGATGTACAGCTTATTCCACATAGATGCTTCAGAATTTGAAACTTAATCATGAAAATGCATTAATGCGATTTATATTTCATTAGTTACATTCAGTCCACTGACCTCCAGCCTTTTTACATTTTGCAAGGTTTATAAAAACTCCATTTCTGAGTTACCAAGTCATTTGCAATTGATTACTTCCAGATAAGAAACAGATTTGAAAGAACCATTGTACCTGATCGTCTTGCACGTCATCACTACATACTAGAAAAGCTATTACAACGCAAGATGTGGACTACTGAATTTATTACTATTTGTTTTATTATACATATAGCAGAGTCTATAATAATAATAATAATAATAATAATAATAATAATAATAATAATAAATGGACATATCAAGACATCATTCCATTCATAATGCCAAACCTTTTCCACATTCTTTTGGAGATTCAATACTACGTTAAAAAAAGACTTGATGAAGAGAAGGAATAATCCCCAAGCTCTTCAGGTGCTAGTGTTTTAATAAAGACAAGGACTGGGGAGTCCTGATGAACAGCAATGGTGGTACATTTTGATGCCGGTAAAATATGGGAGACTTGCACAATTCACAGCACCAAAGTGGCTTAGAATAGTAGTTTTAATGAGGTCCATCACTGATCGTATATCCCAAAACTTTCAAAAAGGAAGACAGGCTGGAGAGCTGGGACCACAAAAATGTAAATTCTTCTGGCGCAATTATAATGCACAGCACAAAGCAAATGAAAATAACTAGTTCATGAAGAATCACAACCCTGCATTCTTCTTAAAAATGTGGCAGTTTGGTTTATTTTACTTGATGTGGGTGAGTCTTTGATTTGGTATAAATTATTTTTGCACAGTTTTTTTTTTACCTAAATCTTTAAAACTTAGTAAGCAGTATGTTAAAATCAAAGTATTGCATTGGTAAGCTCAGGGACGGAGACAACTGTTTTGCTAAAAAAAAAAAGAACTTCTAAGTTCCCTGGACAACTGATGCTTGATGTGAAAAATTAATTGCAATTAGTTATTTTCAGTATTATCTGGCAATGCCAACCACACATTTTAAGCTTTTCATGTTCCTAGTGTACCATAGCTATAAGAAGTCTACACATTTCACACAGAAATAAAAAGAACTAATGTTCCCACTTTAAACATTTGAAAATTATAAAGGTTCTTTTTACAGAGCAATGCTTAACATTAATTACTTATTTCAATAATCTGCACTCAACACTTAAAGCAAGAGAAAGATAAAAGATATTGGGTTCATATAATTTTCCTAAATAATTAGAGGGAGCACTATGTCCATTTTTCACAGCATAACATTTTTATTCACATTCTTGTAATAGCACTTTATAATTACTACTATGAAATGCATTCATATGCATTTGTAATTAGCATAACTTGTAATAATGAAGTACACAAGACAGTTGTAAGAAACCACGATACTTTCATATTCTGTCTTCTTAATCATCAAAAACATTAAATATATATTGCATGAATACCGCATAAAACTATTTTCTCAAAGAGAACTGCTTAATAAGTCACTAAATAAACACTCCAGCACTTTCAAGACCAGATGCAAGCCCTGACAAGCTGTGAATTTGAGAAGATCAAAGTGAAAAAGATTTGCCATATTTGAAAATGCAGTTCAAAGCACTGAGTTACACTAATTCACCAATTCTCATGTTTGATTCAATCCCTGGTGGTTTTAACATTACAAGTCATGTCCCAATCCTCAGAGCCAACCAATAGATTAATTGTTAGTTCCGTGCAATGCAAAATACCTAGAGGCCTAGGTTTAATCCCTAAAATAAAGGGTACAGATACCTTTTACGCCTTTTTCTATTTTTTTCTTCTTCATACCTTTGAAGGGGTAGGGAAAAGTGGTTAAGCAATTTAGAAAAAATGAAGGTTCAACAGCCAACAGACATACAAACATCTGAAAGAACATACTATAATTGCAAATGTTCAATAGCAGTCTAAAAGAAAGTTATTACCTAGACCTTAGTCAAATGCAAGTTCTTTTGTTATGTTAAAGCACTAATGCGAAACAAAGAAGAGAATGGAAACAAAGAGGTATCTACCAGATCAACAGTTTCTGATGAAGAACGCAACACTGAGAATCTGAATACTACACATAGCACTCTACAAATTGTTTTTCTACACAGAGTGTTTTACCCTAACATGTAAAACCACAATTTGCTCTTGAGGAGTGATGTGTAACAAAAGAGAAGTCATCGTACTTACTGCTTGATGCACTCTGGTATTGAAACATACTCCATTGGGACGAGCTCAGCCAGTTCCACCAGGCTGAAAACATACTTGATTTTTTGGCTAAACTTTGAGCTATGGAAAAGG